CTCTGGACCGTTCCGATTCGAAATGAATTCTTCTGGAATTCTGAATTTCTTCTGGAAACATAAAACTTAGACATTTTTCAGAACTCCTTATTCGGGGTTCGGCCCATCACAGTGCCTGTAACGAAAGAGGAAAACACAAGAACACATCCTAGTTCCGTGAGGAATTCAAACCCACGATCTCACTGTAAGGGCCTTCCAAAACAATACGGGACATACGTACGTCTCTTTGGTCCGAGTCCGAGCGAGGGTTTCTGAATGTTCCCGACACTTGTGACAGTATTGCTGACAAGATACTATGCAGTTGTGGAGTCCAGCGAGGGTTTCTGAATGTTCCCGACACTTGTGACAGTATTGCTGACAAGATACTATGCAGTTGTGGAGTCCAGCGAGGGTTTCTGAATGTTCCCGACACTTGTGACAGTATTGCTGACAAATACTGTGCGGGCCTGCATATTTCCGGGAGCTGGCGAATTGATCAGCGGCAGCAACGTGAATTCACGGAAAAGCAGAAGTTACTAGTCACAAGGACAGCCGTTCCATTTCCTCTAAGTGGTGATTACATTCACTGCTACACTCTTCCGAAATTAACATAGCACTGTAATTTAATATTAATTAGAATATTTGTAAACCTTCCACACTCAATCCATGTTCATTTAAATTTAGTAAAAAATACGGTTGTGACAGATTCGTAGGCTATCTAACAGTTCGTTATCAAATTATGGAGAGGCATGGTAGCTCAGTAAAGTACCGGACTACTGCGTGCTTGACAAGGGTTCAATTCTCGACAGGCACAGGAATTTACCCAATTTACAATTTGTACATTATACCAAAATTCGTTTTCGGCCCATCCAGCCTTCTCTTCAAATGATACGGAGGCCTCTGTCCTGGGAGTAAAGAGACCGGCCAGCGTGAGGTTGACCACTCACCTCCATCTGACGGCAATGTAAGACTGACAAAAAGAATTATGGAACTATTGAAACTAAATAGAAAGCAGATACGATAGGTGACAGGACTATTTAAAGGACAGTCACCTGAAAGGACACCTTTCCGAATTGTATTGCTTACATTCCATATCCAATATATGTTTATATTCTTTATGATTCAGGTAAAAAAAGGTAAAGCTATCCCTGTAACAGGCCATGGAGGCCGATAGAGTTGTGAGACGTCGAGGCTTCGGTATTTCTAGACAACAGGCTCTCACAGGTGGCGGTGACGTCAGCCTTACGCTCCGGCTGCCCTCTTTCTGTTAGAGGCTGAGTCGACCCCAGGGCCATAGTGCGGCTGGAAGGATTAGGTCAATTGAAAAATCCAATGACCTTATCGGAAATCGAACCCCCGACCTTCCAGTTTGTAGCATAATGCTTCAACCAACTACGCTACCGCGTGCCCCGTTCTTCATGATAGAGTCTTCATAATTTTTATTCACCTTACAGTTCATAACAAAATGTGTACAACAGCATTTGAGGGACAAACGACACGTGTTAATGACAACATAATGACATATAAAAATGTAGATAGTATGAAAAGTGGGCTGATAAAATGAAGGAAATATTAAAAACAATGTAATATTAAATCATGAAAATAAAATTTTCATGAAGTTCATGAGAAGTTTCAATATCGAAACAGCAGTAGTTTAACAGAGGATAGCAACAAACAGATGAAGTGACAGAACAAGACTAAATAAATTATAACTGCTATTACTGCATTTTAAATGTACAGAAACACAGCCGAATTCAAAACGATGTGGAGCACAATTGACATCTTTCGGCTACTGAGGTGTCCATTCCACGTAAGGAGGCCCCTGTCCTCTGCTTCATCCTTCGAGCCTCGCTCTTTCGAGCACGCTCCCATCTGCATATACAGCTATCCAGTAGGGGCTGCTTTGAAGCCCATCTGTCAGTACATATGTCATTCTGTTTCATCCGCTGGTCATACCTGGTAGGCTGTATATCTTTTAATTTGAGCTTATTTAGCGACGCTGTTAGTACGTCAGCCAGTCTTTTTTTTTTAAAGTCCCCATTTAATTTTTTAAAAGTATTTTCAAAGTACCTGCAATTTTCAAACACAGAAGACAGCGTGAGCTGTTATACACAAAGAGCTGCACATTTTGACGTCCTTATATCCACAGACTTATTCTGCACTGATAATGGTTTACGAATATGTATTAGTTAAAACATATCAACAGAAATTCAAACATTCCAGTTGCGTTCACGTACGCAGACATCTTGCTTACCCTTAAGAGTACTCCTACCACCAGTTGAGGAACTTGTCTCAGACTAACGGTATTATTAGCGGCCTCCGTAGTCTAGGGGTAACGTTCCCACCTCATGACTCAAGGTACGCGGGTTCAAATACCCGGCGGAGGTCCTTTAATTTTAAGGGCGGAAAAATTCAGGGAACAAGTCCTCCGGGAGGGACTTTAAGCCGTGGGTCCCGTGTCGTAGATTTACGGCACGTAAAAGAACCTCATGCCTCTAGGAGGCCTCTGAGCTAAATTAGGCCAAATAGTTTCCAATGCCTCCGATAGATGGGAAAGTATTAGGTACCACTGCCAGAGGAGGGACGACCTCGCTGACAGAAAGGGACTAATTATTAGATACCACTGCCAAGTAGAGGGTAGAAACCTTGCTGGCAGAAAGGGGCTAAAGTACCGTATTTACGCATGTATAGGCCGCAGCACAATTTTCAGACAAATTATAGAAAAAATAATTTTCTTGGAATATTATTACTAATGTATTACTAATTATGAATATATTTTTTTTTAAATGAAGTGTGATTTCGAATATTTCGAATATAAGCCGCACCCCAGTTTTCCTCTTGAATTTTTGGCAAAAAATGTGCGGCCTATACATGCGTAAATACGGTATTAGGTACCACTGCCAGAGGAGGGACTAACTCGCTGACAGAAAGGAACTAACTATTAGATACCACTGCCAAGTAGAGGGTAGAAACCTCGCTGGCAGAAAGAGGCTGATAGCGAGCACCAGTATCGGTAGGGAGATGGAGACGGTAGAAATTAAAAGGGGGATGTACAATAGACTATCAGTCGCGGTGCATGGGGAAAACCACCCCCTCAATACTGAATCACTGAACGGTATTAATATTAATTCCTGTTGCTCCCTCTCGAAGACAGGGCATCTGTGAAACGCTGCGTTTCATTTCAGTTTCCTAATCTTATAGACAGTCTGCAGGACTCCTTGGACGGGGGATCAGCCCATCAGAAGGCCATTACTTACACATGATAACACAAACACAATAAATCCAGACAGACGTCCATGCAACGAGTGGGATTCGGACGCACGATTTCAGTGTTTGAGCGGGCGAAGACATGCGCGGCCACTGTGCGTAGGATGATTAGAGAATAATAAACTAGAAACGATGTAGAAGGAAGCGGCGATGCTATCCCAGCGTTTACTTAAGAGGGACGGGCGAAAATAACGGAAATACTTAGTCGGGAGAGCCGGCGTTCCGGTAATAATTGGAACCGGACGCCTCCCGCCTCCAGAATATGACAAGGTCGAAGCTTTACTGCGTGAACCAACCTTGCTCGGTGCACGCGCTAGAAACTGAATTCCTCGAAGGGATAGGAGAGGGGAAAAGATAAAGAACAGACTCGAGGCAAGTACGGCAGGATCTGGGGAAGCCGATCAGAAAATAAGGAATTAGAAAATAACATCGCCGTAACATAACCCTTTTCCCTATTTCAGTTCGGGATCGATTAAAAAATATACTAAAATCTGTAGGCAGTTTGTGGAGCTCCTTGGGGAGGGATACAACAAAACAATCACTCGGAAAATGAAAATCAGAAAAGTAACCAAAAGATTGACGGATTATACACCGACTGGGAAAATGAACATTGGATACTGTAAAATACTACTGAAATATCAGCTCTAGAGGGACAAGTGAGATTATCTGTAGCGGAGTGCAAATCCATGTGGTGGGAATGTTGACAGTTCTTACGTTTACGTAACATTCTCTGTTTCCATATTCGAAGTGACAGTTTAAGGACTTCTATCATGTGTTAGTTCATTCTTGATAGCCCACTATAAAATCATCGTTGGTTTCGCCTTTCCTGGTACCACTTCTGCTGGCTAAGGGGCGAAGAAATGACGTTAGCAGCATTGGCCAGAGAAGACTCACGACAGTACAGTCTTGTATTTAAGCATCCTGTTTCATTACTATATTCAGCCGTGTTTACATATAATTTTCCGTCTATAATGAAACTATACATTTCCTCCTTCACATTTGTTTTCGTTATTAACATGTTTCGGCCCCAAACCGCCATCCTCTGGTGTCCCATTATGCCAAACCTGCTACACTGCACTGAGTAATGTCCATTTCACACGCGCCTAACTGAGCATTTCGTAATAAAAATGTTACAATTGTACTCAACTGTTCTGCGTTAAATCTTATATGTTACAGTTCATTCCATTTAAAACCAATTAAAAATCGTTACAATTTTTAATTATATAAGAACTCCTAATTCCAGCTCATAAGGGGTGTCGTCTATTTGTCCAAGCAAGTTCCTGTCAGATGAAAGAGTGTCGAATTTCGTGCTTTTGTGGCCATTCATGCGTCTAACATACAGTGAATGTATCGCCATTCTCGTCGAATGGGCTGGGATTGCGTAGGAGTCTGTGTTCGATTCTTGGCTGGGCAGTCGGTCATGCGCATAGAAACGTTTCCTTTGGCTTCCTTAGTACTCCAGAAGAATATCTCCAAATATATCACAGTGACTTTTTTTTCAAAATATTAATGCTCATCTAATATATAACCCACACCTTTGCCTGTGTTCTTAAAACAGCTTCTTTAAGTAACAAAACACTGAATCAGCCATTAACTTCATTATGATGTGTCCTCATTGTGTGCTGCCAGGATTCCGAGATATTGATATTGATTGGTGTTATTCATGTTAGTCACTGATATGGAAGACATTTGCATTGCATATTTTGTCAATGGGTGCCATAAACTGATCATATATTTTTCTCGATTCTTCACAGGCTAAAAACACTTTCAATGTGAATTTCGACCAGATTTACCAAGAATGGAAGGCCGTGCACTACGGATGGCTGCCGACTGCGGAAGAACTCTCCAAAAGTTTGGGAGAAAAAGTTCCATATGACGTGCTCGAGAAACTCGATGTAAGAAGTAATCCAAACACTACACGCTGTAATATTAATTACGAAATAAGTCCTAAAAGAAACACCACATCACTGCATGTCGATCCAGTTAAAGTACCATAAGATGGACATTTATTCTTTTTACTACTCTTTATTCTATGTCACTGCTATCAACTTCATACAAAATTTTATCCAATATCCTTCTCTCAAGATTAAGTCCATACATCGATGAAATTATTGGGGATCATCAGTGTGGGTTTCGACGTAACAGATCAACTACAGATGAGATTTACTTTCGTCAGATACTGGAGAAAAAAATTGGAGTACAATGAGACAGTACATTAGGTATTCGTAGACTTCAAGAAAGCCTATGATTCAGTTAGGAGGGAAGTATTGTACAGTATTCTGATAGACTTTGGGATACCCATGAAACTAGTTAAGCTGATTAAAATGTGTTTAAACGAAACATATAGTAAAGTCCTTGTAGGTAAATATTTGTATGATAATTTTCCTATCCATAATGGTCTGAAACAAGGAGATGCTCTATCGCCACTCCTTTTCAACGTTGCTTTAGAATATGTCATTAGAAATGTCTAGGAGAACCAGGTGCGACTGAAATTAAATGGGGCACATCAGCTGTTGGTGTATGCCGATGACGTGAATCTACTGGGAGATATGTAGATACCATAAAGAAAAACACAGGAGGTTGGTCTAGAAGTAAACTAAGAGAAAAATTAAGTATACGTTGCTGTCTCGTTGCCAGAATGCAGGGCAAAATCATGACATAAAATAGCTAGCAGATACTTTCAAAATGCGGCACAGTTCAAATATTTGGAAACTACACTAACAAATCAAAATTTGATTCAGGAGGAAATTAAGAGGCGATTGAATTCGGGTAATGTTTGCTACCATTCAGTCCAGAACCTTGTCTTCTAGTCTGATATCTAAAAACATAAAAATTAGAATATACAAAACTATAATTTTGTCCGTGGTTCTGTATAGGCGTGAAACGTAGACTGAGGGTGTTCGAGAACAGCGTGCTGAGGAGAATATTTGGACCGAAGAGGGATGAAGTAACAGGGTTGGAGAAAACTGCATAATGAGGAGCTTCATAACTTGTACTCACCAAACATAATTTTTTTTTCATTGGCACCACAGCCCCAGTGGGCCTAGGCCTACCTCCATGAACTACCAAACATAATTAGAATGATCAAATCGAGGAGGATGAGGCGGGTAGGTAATGCAACACAAATGGGGTAACACATATAGGAGGTGGGATATCCAGATGGAAAGATGCCACAAGGGAGGCCAAGCCGTATGTGGGTGGACAAAATTAAAATGGATCTTGGAGAGATAGGATGGGATGGTATGGACTTGGTTGATCTGGCTCAGGATAGGAACCAATGGAGGACCCTTGTGAACACTGTAATGAACCTGCGGGTTCCATAAAATGCTGGGAAATTCTTGAGTAGCTGTACAACTGGCGGCTTTTCAAGAAGGGCTCAGCTCCATGAAGTCAGTTTATACTGTTTATTTTATTCTTGTTAGTATTAAATTATACTGCACATTCTCATTCCTAACTTATAGAATAGGGCGTAAGTGTGTTATGCTAATAATTTTAATATTCTTTTAGTTTTTTAGAATACTACTACTACTACTACTACTACTACTAGTAGTAGTAGTAGTAGTAGTAGTAGTAGTAGTGCAGTATTAATGAAACATGCATACTCTATACTCATATAATCAGTGATGTTCTTGAGGCAAAGTAAATATGACACCCCTGGGGATAACATAATGAACCCGAAACATTTTGGTAAAAATATAGTAACAGAGTGACTGACTGCATTAGACTAAATTACTTCATGTGTGTGCGTTGCATTAGATTGTCGAAATATAGGTGTGATATGGGAGCAACGATGGGAATTCAAACTTCAAGCAATCACCCTTTTACAATAAGTGCACAAAATATGCAATGTCGCACATAACCTTGTGCACACTTATTACGTAGTTACATACAGGAGCCACGCGGTAGTGTAGTTGGTTGAGGCACTATGCTACAAGCCGGAAGGTCCCGGGTTCGATTCCCGATGAGGTAATTGGATTATTTAATTGACCTAACCCTTCCAGCCGCACTGTGGCCCTGGGGGGTAACGGGCGGCCGGCGCGTAAGGTTGACAACCTCACCGCCATCTGTGAGCCGATTGTGTAGAAAATGTGGATGCCTCGATGTGTTCACAACCCTATGGGCCTTCATGGCCTTTTGCAGGGATAGCTTTACATTTATCTTTTATTAATTGCATACACGTTTTACCTCTACTAGTTAGACGTTTCGGTTTTTACAATCAACACACTACCATATATCAATTGAAACGCAAGTGCTGTTGTTTATATTATAAATATGGCCATGTACATCAGAAGCTTCCATACTGACTGCGACTTAGAAACTTAATACATCAGATTATGGAAGCATAAAAAGTTCTTCTGAAACGTACGAGTTATAGTAAAGAATTGGACGATAGTTGTATATGATGAATTGGCTATATTGAACATTCCGAAAGTACTGAAGAAGAGCACAAGGAATCTTGTTAGCCGAGAGTCGAAAACAAGATCATTCAGTTACAGAGCAGACGTGCTGACAGCTCGACCGCGTTGAGCATCTCCGTCTGTTTCAGTGAACTGGGATCAGACACTCTTTGAGCTTATATTGATTCACGTCATTGACCAGTAATCTCGATGACCGTGATCCTTGGGGACATCTTATGCATTCCTCAGCGGTGACTCCATTTCTTCTTCCGTCACACTGCCTCGTCACCGATGAAATGTTTTTGTATCACAACTAGTTACACTGGAAGCTGGACGTAAGCTTTGTCTCTGAGAGAGACCTGTGTATGTACTGTCGAGCGCTGCATATTGGAGTACGCTCCAGAGAGTAAGCAAGTAACAGGAGACCGGAAGTAATTGCACAGTGGGAAATGCAATTGTGTACTCCACTCCAGGACGATAAAATGAAGATGAATGGCATGAGCGAGACATGTGACACGCATGGTAGAGTTCAGAAATGCACTTAAATATTAATTGTAAAAACTGAGGAGAAGAGACTACTTGCAAGACCTAGATGTAGATGTGAGGAAAATATTAAAATAAGTGTTACAGTAATAGGGTGTGATGATGTGGATTGGATCAGTCTGGCTCAGGATATGGGGCCAACGGCGGGGTCTTGTAAATTTGGAATGAAACTTCGGTTCGATAAAGTCTTGGAATTTCGTGACCAGCTGAGTGACTATTAACTTCTGCAGAAGGCAGTTTTATGGTATTAAAAATCGAGAGATTCTGAACCTTTTATTGGTTGACATATGTAAAGGTGCTCGTGTGTGTGAGCACCGCTCCATAAAGATGTTCACGGGAAGCGACCGCGGAATTAGATGGAGGTGAGTGACCAGAACCTCAGTCCACTCGCCCGGTACTGTATGAATAGGAAGAAGAGTGGCCACTAGAGCCACTATTTGAAGCATGAAACTCATCTATAGTTCAGTCGCTAACTCACAAAAAAGAGACTGCGTCTGTTACAAAGACAACCCTGTTAGTACTGTTTAGGGAAATAATCGCTGTTTAGTCTTAGAATCATATAAAATACGTAAGTGAGCTGTGTGCAGAAAATGCGTATTTTATAAATAAGTCGTTGCGTATAATAACCACTCTGCTTCAGACGGTTGATGTATGAATGCAATTGCATGAACCCATTTTCTGTACTTGAAGATTCATGATATAGCTTACGTTACGTTCAGCCGCAGAGGGCAATCAGGTTAGAGCGATATTTGTATGAAGTGTATATCTGCCATACCAAATATCGCTGATATCTGGTAAGTGGGTTTGGAAGTATGGACGGACGGACATTGTGTAAAGATCGCAATACTGAAAGTCGCTCTTGTTGCAGCTTGACATGGCGCTGAAGGACACGTATAGGTACCTGCAGAAATACGCCGTCGGCATAGAACAGGTCGTGTGGGACCAGATGGACAGTAATGGGCCCTTCAAGAATCAGTTCGCAGACATCGAGTTCAAACTGAGAGCGGTGAGTGGGATCAACATTGTAGTGCTTACATATGAACCCAGATGTGTATCAGGCCTGCATAAATTCATGATGGCGTGTAGAATATTCTTCCTGCTATATTACCACTAGCATATGATCTGTCAAAGGTGAGGGAAAATGAATTATTCCTTCCTTCTCTTTAACCCTTTCGTATCTTTATATCCTTCCCTCCTTTCTATTGTCATTCCTCTTCGCCGTACTTCCTCATTCTCTTTCACGTTAAAACAGTCCCGTCACTCGGCATTATCTTTCCTCCACCCCTTTATCACCTTCCTTCCTTCTGACATATTCATTTTCCATCTCCTTTATGTGTCTGTCATATTGTCATTCCTGCCCCCGTGGTTGTGGGTACAAACATTTTACTATTATGGCGGCGCAATATAATAAGAGAGACGTAGACATGCATAATAAAATAAGTTTAATAAGATTAATAGAATTAAAACTGCATAATGAGGAGCTTCATAACTTGTACTCTTCTCCAAGTATAATTAGATTGATCAAGTCAAGGAGGATGAGGTGGGCAGGTCATGTAGCACGAATGGGGGAGACGAGGAATGCGTATAGGATATTGGTGGGAAAGCCAGAAGGAAAGAGACGACAGGGAAGACCAAGGCGTAGGTGGGTGGACAATATTAGAATGGATCTTAGAGAGATGGGATGGGATGGTATGGATTGGATAGATCTGGCTCAGGATAGGGACCAGTGGAGGGCTCTTGTGAACACGGTAATGAACCTCCGGGTTCCATAAAATGCTGGGAAATTCTTGAGTAGCTGCAGAATTGGCGGCTCCTCCAGAAGGGTTCAGCTCCATGAGTAAGTAAGTAATAGAATTATAGGAAGATATTTTGTAAAGAACATTTTTAAAAATATGCAACTTAAGTAAGCACGGCTATATTCACATTGTTTGCATCAGAAGCGTGAACTTATCTTATAAGAGAGAGAAGAAAAGCTTGGAGGTTCAACATATTAAATTACATAGAGAATTTGTAGGCTTTTCAAGAAGAAAGCGAATTAGAACACTACACGGAGTAAAACGACGACAGTCACCGTCACTCAGTATGCAGAAATATGTACACAGCAGTGTGAGAGAGGAATGCGAGGGGAGATGTGGAAAACCGAACGAAGATTGTCGGACGAAATTTTAAGTCTCAGAATGGATCCTAAAAACCAAATTCTTGTCTGTACAGGGGAACAATGCTGAATGCACAATTCTCATGAATAATATTAATAGTCTACTTTCATTACACTGAGTAAAAAGTTTTAGGGTTTATGATTACATTATCATCATCATCATCAAAACGTTGGGATGATGCTGAGGGGAAGCTATGCCGTGTAGCCATTTATGAGCCTGAGCAGCTCTCAAGTGCAGACTCATGGTTTATTTAACGACGTTATATTAACCGCCTAGACTATTTCTATAGCGTCGAGTGGTAGGCTGATTGAAAGGGATGTGAATACACAGTCATTGGCCTTTTTAATATAATGTCACAAATTTTGCCCGGGCGGAGGGGTAAGGTCAAGTTGTCCTTGTGCTTAACTAATTAAACACTACGCCATGAAAGCGTATGGAGGAGTGGATGTATAGATCCACATTTTCTTGACCTCGGCACTAGACGGAAGTGAGTGGTCAGCTTCACGCCCCTGCCGCTTTACCCCTGAGGAAAGAGCTTTCGGTACCCATTGGATAGGAGGTTGGATGGCCCCCAGAGCCGGTCTGGACTACATGGAGACGTGAAAATTCTAGCCCTCCCCCTGACTTGAACTCCGACCCCTTGATAACCCAGCCCGTAGCCAGTCGCTATACCGACTAAGCTATCCCGACACTTTCGAGGGGAGAGGGGCTGAGGAAAACTAAAAAATCACTCAGGATAGAAACCTGTGTCTGGGTCTGAGATTCTGCATGTCCGCAACACTAAGGAACAGGAATAATCAGTCAGTTACATTAGGTAATCAGCAAAGTGGTTGTACGCGCGCTGGGCAACTCAGGTTCCACAAGCAGTAAGGGCAAACGCACTTCCTGCTTTCTGAAAGGGGCATTGTTGCTGGCCTCGTAACGTTTAATCTGACTCCACAGAAATCGCATTTGACTCAGGATACAGTGATAAGGACGCAGCCCCAGAACATAAGCCTTGCGTTCTGTACAGTTTCGTTGACGGCGTAGTTACCACATGTGCTTTCATGAACGGTCTTCACTCTTTGTATGAATTCATTTTACAGTTTCAGCATTGTTCTCACAGAGACGATCTTTCAGTCACTTAAGCATATCATGCTTACGCCACGAAATTGTCGGAATATGCTGCATGAACATACTGCACTGCCCTTCTCCGAACCTTCTGAATCCTTGACGTTATTAATTTCGTCAACGATGGTTCAAATAAATTATTAGACGAACTGTGAAATTATAACCTTACACCGTACATTATAGGAACCGGGATAGCGCAGTCGGTATAGCGACTGGCTACGGGCTGGACGACCGAGTTGTCAAGAATTTTCTGCACGTCGTCCAGACCGGCTCTGGGGTCCACTCAACCTCCTATCCAATGGGTACCGAGGGGTCTTTCCCCGGGGGTAAAGCTGTAGGGGCGTGAAGCTGACCACTCACCACCAATCTATACATTCATTCCCCCATACGCTTTCATGGCATAGTGCTTAATTAGTTAAGTTCCCCCCCCCCTTGGCACTACAGCCCCAGTGGGCCTAGGCCTACCTCCATGAACTTCTCCGTTCACTTCGGTTTTTCTTGATCTTACACATTCGGTAGGACTCCTTGGACGGGTGATCAGGTCGTCGCAAGGCCTCTACCTGTACACAGCACAGAAACACGCACACAAACATCCATGTCCTGAGCGGGATTCGAACCCACGATTCCGGTTTCCAAGCGACCGAAGACAGTACATGCCTTGGACAATTAGTTAAGTACAGGGACAACTTTACACCGTACACAATACAATGACTTGCACAATTCAGTATACCATAGAAAAGAGAACTCTATATAAAGAAAACCTGCACATTAAGTTATAGTATCCATGCATTTCGCAATCAAGTGACGTGGCGAAGTGCACTCACCCCGCCTATCTGTTTACATCAAGTTATTTCTTTAGTGAAACGGAGAATAAGGCGGGGTCCATTCTCTGCTCCTCCGGTGGTGCTTTGCATTGACTGTTTGCGTTGCGTGTTGCAGACGCTGTGTGAAATCCAGGCGGCAATGTTGGAGCGTGGAGTGGCGCAACATGACAATATCACCCGGCAAATCATGGGAAACGAACTGCGCCAAGTAACTAACTCATCGTACCGGAACGTGCGGGACTGGGTCATCTTCCGGGACTGCATGAACGGGCTGGAATACGTGATCCAGGTGTTCGAGTACTTCAAGGAGAAGTTGACCTCCTGAAGCACACCCATTCTTGGACAGGAGCACCACTTCGGCGGCAAGGATCGGCTCGACGTACACAGCAACTTCCGTCGAACACATCGAATTGCGTCCTCACAGTATTGGCATTCACAAAGAAGCTGAGCTTTCGACTTATCTTCACTCTCACTTAAAAAGAAATTTATCTTGGTTGAAGGTGAAGACAGTTATGAAACGTACCGTCGTATTTTCATTAATTCCGTCACTCAGCTCCATCCAAGAGGGCAGTTTTACTGCTTTTGGAAAAATTTTTATTTTACAAAATACTTTTAAATATAAATCCATATTCGTGTATACTATAGACAAAAATGGGATTGTTCACTAATTATCAGTGGGATATTGCCACACGTAAATTATGCGAGTCACTGTATGATATGTACTAGTAAACACCCATCACTACTGATACATTTAAACTAAGGACCATATGGTATGTAGGAATGAGACAGAGGTTAGAGATATTAATTAGACTTCTCCCTACGTGGATGTGATGCATGTGCATTGTAACAAGGGAGAGAAAGCTTTAAGTGTATGTATATATTTATATTTGTAAAGCCACGATATAGAGCAAAGAGCCGTCCAGAATCTCAGACGATCGTAGAAGCTATGTAGCCAGTATTTATAGACCTTACGTAAGAACATTGATAGAATGCTGATTGTATTTTCTTCGTATAGCAACACCATCGTTTTACTCGAGTACTGTTCCTGTTAACAATTTTGTATTATATATATATTAATATTTANAATCAACTAAGATTGTCAAAAGCAGGGGTCTCAAACTCGCGGCCCATCGTTTCACTTTATGCAGCCCTTCTGATTATAGAATGTGGCACGCCTCGGTGTCGATTATTCTATTTTATTTCAAGTTTCTCTTCGCCTTTGCGAAAGGTTACAAAGAGATCTGCTACACCTCATCTAGGTTATCCATAGCTGTTACAGTTCTATCGGGTAACAAATGACCGAGCACCTCGAACCCCATGCTCTCTGGGTGGTAACCGCTGCCATGAACATTGCCACTCACCAGGGTTTTCCACCTGGAGGACAACAAACCACTGTATAGAAGCGAGCAAAATCATTTAAAAAGCCATGGTAATGTGTCAAGTCGCCCCATGAACTTCAGGATCGCGTCTGATCATAAACTGAAATAAAAATAAATATCCTATAAATTTAATGTTAAAACGGTTTATATTATGCCTAAAATGTAGCAAAGCACAAATTTACCGTGTAAGGTTCGCTTTACAAAGTGTTGTTAACCGAAGTTTAGCTGAAGTTTTGGAGGCTAGATTTTTTGTTCTCATGGGTGAGACTGAGTCCACTTGGTACTACGGCCACTGTTTGGCCTATTGTTCCAGCCCCGGATGATAGGCGATGACTGTGGAGCAATCGGTGGAATGCGAATTGGCAGGGGAAACTGAAGTACTCTGAGGAAACCTGCCCCATGCCACTTTGTCCACCACAAATCTCACATGACCTGATCCGGGCTCGAACCCTGGCCGCTGCTGTGGGAGGCCGGCGACTAACCGCCGAGCTATGGCATGGCCGAGGATTCTGTCGATTGTAACCATTGCAAACAGTTGTGTCAGACCTTGTGTCCTCTAACCAAATTTGGTAATGAAGTGGACCTTGAAATCTCTGTGTGTGGTATGTTTTATTTTGCGACGTCTCTGTCTAAAATGAAGAAGAGGAAATTCGGAGAAGAGTGTCTTGTATTTCAAGAATAATTGGGAGAACATGTAGTGCGTGATAAAATTGTTTGCCTCATTTGCAATAAGTGGGTATTAGTGGCAAAAGAATACAATTTGCGCCGTCATTACGGAACTTTACACAAAGATATGTTTGGTGTTCAAGAAGTGAAGCTAAGAGAAGACAAATTGCAGAAACTTAAATCTGATCTGCAACGGCAGAGGAATAATTTGCTGTTGCTTCTAAATCAAATGAAGCAGCAGTTCAAGGAAGTTTTGCTGTTTCACAAAGCATTGCCAAAAAAAATCAGGACCATTTATGGATGGTGAGAATGTGAATGTGCATAATGAAGGAAGCAGAAATACTTGATCCAAAAAAACAGAAGCTTTTTAAAGTCGTCAGTCTTTCATCAAACACAGTAACTGATCGAGTGAATGATTTGGCAGAAGATATACCGTGTCATATCAGAGAAAAACGTTAAGATTTTGTGGTATAATCAGTTGCAATTACGAGACAACAGACGTTACAGATACACCGCAGCTATCCGCTTTTATTCGAGGTGTCAATGAGGACTCTGAGTTAATGGTAAAACTTCATATACCTATGAAAGAGAAACATGTAAAATTATTTTTTTTCTGAATTTATAGCCTTTTTTTTAGCAAATATGAATTCTCTTAGGAAAGAACGGTTAAGTTTCTTAGTGACGGGGCTCCTGCTACGATTGGCAAAAGTTAACAGACAGTTTAAAAGAAATTGTAGAATCCGAGGAAACGGCTTCTTTCATTACTTTCCTCAGCAGGTTGTGCTGGACATGTGAGTGTGAAGAGAATGAAAATTTACATCATACCTCAGCGAAGAGATACAGTGCAATGTAATTTTAAATTGAAGATGAGGTCGTATTTCCTCCATTTAAGACGCATCCTTGATTTAGCAGTAGGTTTCAGGAACGAAGGCGCTACCGACTGCAGGACGGACCCATAATTTTTAAGACGCAACATTGAGCCTAGGTGTAACAATGAACGCTGACCGATGTCTCTTCATCGCATTGTGTTGGTTGATACTTAGTCGTTTCAGCATTCAAGCCCTCATTAAGTTTTTGATACATTGCCACAGGTAACAACATTACATAGAAATACTTTCGGAATCTTCTTTAGTGTTTACTGTCCCATGACTAGTGTTGTGAATATGACAATTTTCTTTGCCCTTCTGTCATACACGGCGTATTTTGTTGACGGCGATTCGTAGATGCCATAAAATATAAGATTCACCCCCTCACTGATTCATGAAGCTGAGTCCTTGAGAAGCCGCCAAATGTATAGCTGCTCAAGAACTTCCCAGCATTTTATGGACCCCGAAGGTTCATTACAATGTTCACAAGAGCACCTCCACTAGTCCCTATCCAGAGCCAGATCAATCCAGCCCATACTGCCCCTTGCTGTCTCTTGAAGATCCTTTTTAATATTGTCCACCCACCTACGTCTTGGTCTTCGTAGTGGTATCTGGCTTTCCCACCAATATCATATGTGCATTCATCTCATCCCCCATTCGTGATACATGTCCTGCCCATCTCATCCTCCTTGACTTGATCATGCAAATTATACTTTGCGAAAAGTAAAGGTTATGAAGATAAGACGAACCCCAATTTAGGAGAATTTTATGTGTGAAAAAAACGCATGTTAGAATCGAGAAAATATGATGATAATGTAACGGACCAATCTTCATATTGTGTTTAATTTTAAACCAAATACTTAACTTTATATTGCTGAAAATGGCGTGCGACCCGCCATAGCTTTCAAATTTATCCGTTTGGCCCACGTACGATTTGAGTTTGAGACCCCTTGGCTAAAGTTTTGTGACAGGTTTAGTTCACTATAGGTCCACCAGTTGTATGCAGGAAATTGTCCACTGTCTAATTTATCTTTGATTTAGGCTTGCACGACTCCTCAGTCTCTTCGGGCATTTGCGCGGGTTAGGCCAGGACGCTTCCTCCACTCTCTTTCGAATTTATTATTCACAATTAATCCTATAATTCGACGCTGTATGGTCTCAAGTACGGGCGCCGTCGCTAAATAAACAACAAAAAAGCTACACAAAATGACGTGAGAGTTGCTTTAGGTTGTCATTTTACTTACTTTTTAATTATTGTAAGATTAATGCCAACAGGTTGGATTAAACCCAACTACAAAACCACTGGGATTAGCAAATTAATATAGTATCTCAAAGGTGCTACGTTTTGTCCACCTGTTGCCCTAACCTAAAAATGAAAACAACAAAGTAACTGTATGCATGATGAAAGCCACTTGAAGGCTGGGTAGAGCCATCTCCCAACATGTCATTTATAAATCAAATGTCAGACAATGAGCAATGTCGAACATAAAGTTCAAATATAGTTACTAAGTTGTTAATAATTGAGACAAGAAGCTGAGAGGCTCTATGAACATTTATTTGACTAAACTTTGAATATTGTATTTTAAATTACAGTTGCAGGTTTTCTTCGGCGCTTTGAACTTTCCGTGTTCTCATATATCATGGTTCTACGGCACGTCATATTCTGTTGATGATAGATCAAGACTAATAATTCAGAAAACGACAGTGGAGCAGATGCAAACATTTTAATTATACGAAATAACTTTGTCTCATTTTAGGATGAGTCAAATTACGTGTTTATTTTAAAATTCCGCAGTTCTAGCATGTCTTCATTAAAGCCTCCGAAGCATAACCGTCACAAAAATTTCCAGGATCTCAGTGTTTAAATATGAATCTTCCTTATGCAGATAAGGAATCTCAATTCATACACGTGTGTGCTGACGTTTCATGCATTTACAATAAGTCTGTCTTTATTTACATAAGCAACTGTTTTGATGTTATTCTTTCCCTGCCCCAGATATAATTTACCATCAGTATTCATTATGTAATTCAGTGTATACCAGCTGTTTGAGAATGAGAAGAAATGTGTTTTTTGCTCCGTAACAGAGTGAACTAAAGAATTTGGAGCTACTTAAAAGTTATCTTTGTATTTTATACCTTTCATTTGCTGTATGATGTATGCAAAGTATACTAACAGATTTGAGGCTTATTGGGAATATTCAAATCCATTATTGAAAGGCCATAGATTATTGACTTGAATTGTCAAGAGGTATAATGGAAGTTTATTTTAATTTACATTATAAAATTCGGGGGACAATAGAGGAAACATTCGCAGTGCTTTTTTAACAAACTGTCTCTGTCAGAGCACTAAAATTGTTAAGGGAATGGCTGCACTGTGGCTTTGAACTATCTTGATTTCTTCCGGTTCAGTTTCTGTGGTATTGTCTTTTTACACGAATGCAAGTTGAGCTGCCGAAACTTCCGTTTCTGCGCAAATAGTGATTAAC